GATGGAATGAAAATCAAGTATCAATTTGATAATTTTATTTATTTTGGTACAAAACTAATAAAAAATGTATAATATATGTGCTATTTTTTTATTTAACCTTTTAGAGTACTATTTACATTTGCTTATGAGGAATCACCTTTTTGTTAGTAGTAACTCAAATCTCATAAGAGATTTATTTGAGATTTGTTAAATATTGCTTGATGGACAAAAAAACTTACAAAAAGAATAATTTTAAGAGAAAATAAATTTTTAATAAGCAAGATTGACTTGCAGAAGATAAATTTTAAGAAGAAAGAGATTTTTAATAGGCAAGTTTATATAGTTATAAATAAGTGAAGTCTCTACAATATTAGGTATAAGAAAAAGATGTAAGAGAGTTATAAGATTTTGTGGGATAGACACCCCACAAGAGTACTTGAGATTTATGTCTTATGGGTGTATATGTTTGAATATTTGAAAAGTGGATTATAGGAGATTGAGAGAGTCTACATAGGTATGATGAATGGGTACATATAGGTATGTGTTTATTTATGTTGAAAGGGTGGCACATGGGTTTATATTTATTTAGATTGAGAATATTCCATAGGGCTATAAGAGATTAAGAAAGCTTATAGGTATTGATTATTGAGTGAAATTAATTTAATGTAAATTTGTAATTCTCTACAACTAGTGGATCTTATTTCTCATTCGTGAAAATAGGTCGATTAAACCGAATCGCATTAAATTATTATCTCTTATATGTGCTTGGTTGATTTTTTTATTTTGTTTCCACTGGTGTAATTGGATTGAGGCTATTTGACCTAACAAGTGATATTAGAGTTGAAAGTTCAAGACGTGAGAAAAGCTGATGTTCGATACATAGGAAAAGATAAGTTTAGAGGAGCTCGTTTCAATAAAAGAATTCGAGTTTAAAATTTAAAAATTGAATATCGATTTACGTGAAGCGTGAATACACATAAGAGAATATGATTGTAAGAATTTTATTGTAGATGGAGTCAAGTATGTTTAGCATGAAAATAAATAATTTGATAAAATTTAAGTTAATATGGAGATTGTTAGGAATAGTGACTCAAATCCCATAAGAGATTTATTTGAAATTTGTTAGATATTACTTGATGGACAAGAAAACTTGCAAAAAAAAAATTCAAAGAGAAAATAGATTTTTAATGGGTAAGTTTGATTTGCAGAATAAGAGTTTTAAAAAGAAATAGATTCTTAATAGGCAAGTTTGAATAGTTATAAATAGGTGAAGTCTTTGTAAGGTTAAGTATGAAAAAAATATATACGAGAGTTGTAAGATTTTGTGGGATAGATATCCCATAAGAGTATTAAGGATTTATGTTTTATGAATGTATATGTTTGAATGTTTAAGAAAAAACTATAAGAGATTGAGAAAGTCTATATAGGTATGATGAATGGGTACATATACGTATTTATTTGTTTATGTTGAAATAGTGTACATGAGTTTATGTTTATTTGGGTTAAGAATACTTTGTAGGATTATAAGAGATTAAGAGAGCATATAGATATTGATTATTAGGTGAGATTAATTTAATGTATATTCGTAATTCTCTACAACTAGTGAATCTTATTTCTCATATGTGAATGTAGGTCAATTAGATCAAATCACGTTAAATTATTATCTCTTACGTTCGCTTAATTGATTATTTGATTTTACTTTAATTAGTGTAATTGGATTTGAGCTATTTGGCTTAACACCTTTTATAAAATCTTGGGTGTTGGATAGTATTATTGCTTAGAGTGACGCTGGATAGAGGTAATAATGATTTGAATTTGATTCATTTTTTTTAGATAATATACAAAATTATGAATTTTTAAAATTTAATTTGAATATGAATTGAATTTTCATATAATTCGAACTGAACATCGTTCAACATTTTTTAAGTATAAAATATTTTATTTTTATATATTATTTTAATATAATTTTTAATATATTGAAATAAATTTAGGTATAAAATAATTATTTTTATTTTATAAAAATTTAAAAAATATATAAAAATTAATAAAAATATATAATTAGATTAGATTAGATTTTTTTTATTTTTTACTTTTTGATCTGAAATTTAAACCAAATACAATATATACATTTATAATTTAAATTTAAATTGAATCAAATAAAAGAATTAATATAATTTAAATTAAATACTATGATTTTTAATTAATTTTTTATTTTTTTATTTTTTTCTCATCCTGACAAGAAAGGTTCATGATCCCCACCTCAAAATTTTTACCTCACTTATTATTCAATAATTAATCTTACCTAATTATTAATTACTGTTTTAAAATTTTTAATTATTATTATTTAAAAAAAAGAATATTACAATAAAAGAGAAAGAAGAGAGGTTAAGATCTAATTATTAATTACTATTTTGATTTTTTTAATTATTATTTTTTTTTCATGGGAAGTAAAATCTTAAAAAAAAAAAGTTAAGATCGAACTTCAACTTTATATCTTTTTATGGTTTATTTGATCACCAAATTAAGAAGTTGAAGATATATTTTTAATTATTGTTCAACACTTCGTTTATTAATTTTTTTGCTTTTGCCTTTGCTTTCGCTCTGTGAACTGTACTTTTTTGTTGTGGTCCGAGAAAGTTAGAGACAATGACAACTGATTAGGGCCACGGAGAAAACTACGAAAAGTTCAAATGGACAGGAAAGGCTGATCGCACGAAAATAATGTGGCAAATGAAATTGATGATTTTTTTTTTGCCAACAGGGACCAGTTAGTCGGTCAGGCAAGCATTATTTGAATGCGTCTGCCTTGGGCTGTTGTGTGGAAAATGTATTAGCCAAAATAAGCCCAAACGTCTTCGCCTACTCCAATCACATCAATAGAAAAGGAAAAAATCAAAGTCCATGAGGTGACTTGTCTAAGCATTGCCATCACTGGTTTGTATTTCCAATCTCTACCACTATGGACCATGGGTTGGTTTGAAAAGTACTCAAATTGAAAGTCACATCTATGCTTCGTATTGTTTGTGCGGAATTGCCGTCACGAAAAGGAAAAATGAGGAAAAAAAAAAAAGGAATTTGCTTGCTTGTTTTTGTTAAGGAACTCCGTGTTACATGTAATAATTAATGCAAATAATTTGAAAAAAGAAATTTAGATAAATATTTGATTTATTTTAAATATAATAAAATTTTCTTTTAGGTGTAAATCAACTTTTAAAAATTTTATTCTTAAAATACATTACTTAAATTAAAAAAATAAAATTGCATTTCAATTTTTTTAATTCATTTTGAATCATGAGCAAAAAAATTTGAAGATGAAAAACAATAGAATGATTCTTGAAAGATTGAATATAAATTTTTTTATATGAATAAACATATGTTAGGTGAATAAACCTATGCTCTTCCTCATTCATGCACCAAAGATTTGGAGTTGATTTTATTTTCTATCCTTAACTTTTTTTCCATATATAGCTCATGATTGAATTTGTCTTTATCCTTGCTGTCTTGGGTTTCTTGTGTTAGATTCTTTATGCTCTGATGGAAACTTTTTCTTGGAGCCTATAAGATTTTTTATTGATAAAAAAGGAAAATGATCTCATCTATCGTCATAAAGTTTGAAATATCAACAGAATAAAAAATTATCACGTATCCTACTTAAATATATCTAAAAAATTAATAAATTTTTGTAAAAATAATTATGCATGTGATAATATTTTTATTTTTATTAATAATATATAAAAGATGAATTTAATAAGAAAATAAATAATTATCTATTATGTATATAAAGTATTTAATTGAATTGGTGCCACAACTCACAAGCTATGTGACATCAATTCAGTTAAGAAATTGACATAAAAACCAAAATAAAATAAAATTAGAGATATTTATGTCTTTTAATTTGTTTTTATTTTTTTGGTATTTGACCAAAATTTTTTGGATTTTTAAAAAATTTTAATTTTATAAAGCACATATTTTAAAGAAATTACCCACTTCTAAAAAAATTACTACTATATTTTTACTTTCTTATCTTTTTTACAATAATATTATTATTTTCTTTCAAAACACCCAACCAAATTCTACTATGAATAATGTCTTTTGTTAAGCCATGGTCTTAGTCCTCATTGGATTCAACAAAGAAGCCCATCACTGAGACAAGCTTAACAACTAGCCCGGAATTGATTGTTGGGTCATAAATCCAACAACACCTTGAATATTCTACAAAGAGTGCTGCTAAATACATCCTAATTTTTTTCTTCATACTCTATTTTTTTTTCAAAAATTTTTATAAATAAAATTACTTAATTATTATTTTTTCTTTCAAGCAAGTTTTTGATAATATGTTTCTGAAAAATCATATGACTTCTTGAAAATAAATTTTCAAAAAATCATAACTCTTTTTAAAAATAAAATTTAAAAAAATTAAGTTTTTGAAAAAATTTATAATTTTTCAAAAATTTACTTTCGAAAAGGTTTATAATTTTTAAAAAATAAATTTTTAAAAATTTATATAACTTTTCAAAATTTTATTTTTAAAAAGTTATAAATTTTAAAAAATTACGAGAAAAGTAATTAAATAATTTCAATTACAAAATTTTTTTAAAAAATAAAGTATGAAAGGAAGATATGTGAATCGTCTGAATCCACAAATGAAGTTCTAAAAGAAAAAAAAAAAAATCCCACAATCGCCCTGAATCTGTTGATGGTCTAGTTTTATTTTTTTACACAATACAATACACAATGTGAATTGCACAAAGTAAAGGCTGAAGGCTGAAGGCTGAAGGCTGAAGCCCAAGTTTTGACAGGTGACGATCATTTCAATCCATACATGCTTACGGTAATAACGGATTTTCCAAGCTTGACCTGTTCAAAACTTGTTCCCACTCCCTCTCTCTTTGCCCTCACAAGAAAAAAAAAAAAAAGACAAAACGATACCATGAGGAAAACACAACAACAATCCAAAGGAATGCAAAAAATTAGCACAACAATAGCTCCCCACAATCGTAATGCTAAAAATACATTGCCAAAACCCGGCCTGAGGTCTCCATTGTCCGGTTAAAGTAATGGCCGTGGGTTGGTTTTTCAGGCCATTTCTCCTGTTGTTATCTTTGTACGTCCTTTTGCCGTTGACACTTTCGGTATCAGATTCTGAGGCCTTGCTACAGCTCAAGAAATCTTTTACCAATGCTAGTGCTCTCGATTCTTGGGTGGCCGGTTCAGCCCCTTGCAACCAAGAAGGACCTTGGAATGGACTGCTTTGTTACAATGGCACTGTCACGGGTTTGCGTCTTGAAGGAATGGGATTATCAGGAAATATTGATGTTGGCGCTTTGATCGAGATGAAGGATTTGCGTTTTTTCAGTGTTATTAACAATTCTTTTACGGGCATCATTCCTGAAATCAATCGTTTGGGTGCTTTAAAGGCTTTATTCTTGTCAGGGAATCAGTTTTCGGGTGCAATTCCGGCCGAGTATTTTGCCAAAATGGGATCACTCAAGAAAGTTTGGTTATCACATAACAAATTTACAGGGAACATTCCATTTTCATTGGGTCAGTTGCCTTATCTCATCGACTTACATCTCGAAAACAATCAATTTAGTGGACATATTCCGGCATTTAATCACCCAACTTTGAAGTCTATCAATTTATCAAATAATGAACTTGAAGGGGAGATTCCTTCTAGTTTGTCAAAATTCAATGCAAATTCATTTGCGGGTAATCCAGGTCTTTGCGGAGAAGAGCCGGGTGTTAGCTGTAGCAAGGCAGTTGAAACTTCTTCGGAATCAACGTCAATTTCTAACAACTATGATAACAGAGATGAAAAAAGTGATTCCAAAAAGATTACTGCACCAATCATAACGTTAGGAGTGATGCTATTTTTTATGATTATCTTCTTGGCAACCAGATGGAGGAAAAAGAAGCAGGAGGATGTCAATGTGGTTGGAAAGGGAAGCTCTAACGAGGCGGTTGAGGTGCAGGTTTCGGTGCCAGCTAGAAGAGAAGTGGAAGTAGGCAGAAAAAGTGCAAGCTCTAGCCGTAAAGGTTCTAATCATGCAAAGGCCGGTGTTGATGCAGTAGCAGAGCTAGTCATGGTAAATAATGAAAAGGGTGTTTTTGGGTTGCCAGATTTGATGAAGGCAGCCGCAGAAGTGCTTGGAAATGGAGGGCTGGGGTCTTCTTATAAGGTCAAGATGGCTAATGGAGTCACTGTGGTGGTGAAAAGGATGAGGGAGATGAATACATTAGGGAAAGATGCATTTGATAAAGAGGTTAAAAGGCTTGGGAATCTACGACACCCCAATATTTTGACACCTTTAGCTTACTATTACCGGAAAGAGGAAAAGCTTTTTGTCTATGAGTACCTTCCTAAAGGCAATTTGCTTTACCAATTGCATGGTATGAGATTCCCTTCCCCAGAAGTTTATATGACCTTTTGCCTTTGTATTTTATATGTCTCAAACGTTATTCAATGAATTGCTCTTAAGTCTTAACAACGAAGCATGCCCCATATTATTTAGTCATTCAGTTCTGGATTAGAGGATTACTGACTAGCCTTTTCTATTTTCTTGCTTCAAAATCATTGCGGAAATGCTCTCGATTCTGTGGTCGTTTTTCAACTCATTCAACATTTTTTTTCCTTGTATGCCTTATACTGTTATACGCAATAATAAACCATCTATGGATTCTGGTAAATAACATATAATTCTCCAGGTGATCCTGACACATCCCATGTTGAACTTGATTGGCCTGCCAGACTAAAGATTGTGCAAGGAATTGCCGAGGGACTAGATTATCTTCACACTGAACTTGCTTCTCTTGATGTGCCTCATGGCAATCTCAAAGCAAGCAATGTTCTGCTCGGCCCTGATAGTCATCCATTTCTCTCGGACTATGGATTTTGCCCATTAGTAAACAGTAGCGGGGTAGAAGCCCTGTTTGCTTATAAGACCCCGGAAGCTATACGACATGGAACAGTATCTCCTAAAAGTGATGTATACTGCCTAGGAATTATCATTCTTGAGATCCTTACAGGGAAATTCCCTTCTCAATATCTTAGCAATGGAAAAGGTGGAACAGACGTAGTCCAATGGGTGACATCTGCATTTTCAGAAGGGAGACAGGCTGAATTGCTTGATCCAGAGATTACCGGCTGCCAAAACTCACTTGGCAGCATGGAGAGGCTCCTCCACATAGGCACACTTTGCTCTCAAAGTAGTCCTGAACAGCGATTAGAAATGAAAGAAGCCATTAGAATGATAGAGGAGATACAAGTAGAGGGCGGACTAGGGTCTTGCTCTCAGGCTAGAACAATGCAAGTCTTACCATCTCTTCGAGAAGGATTTGCAGATGCACCAAATAGTAATTCATCTAGTTTCCAAGAATGGAATGGTGAGCACGCAAGAAGGAGTCATAAATCAGAAAGCTTTGCAGATAGACAGGGACATTCGTGATGGTGATAGTTTTGTCTTAGCCACCTGCCAGCTACAAAGAAATTGCGTGCACAACTATGTAAATAGAAGTTTTAATTTTGTGATGTGGAAACATTTCTGTATATAATTCTCAACGGAGATTGACTTGCAAGGGCTTCTACAATGATCTGTTGGCCCCTACTGTAGAAAATTTAGGTTGATGTTAAAAACAAGTGAAAAGATCATGTTGAGATGTAACTTTATTAGCATTTTCCTACTTCTTTTAACCTATAAATTAATTGCATTGTTTTAACTTTCCTGAAACATGTTTTATAAGCAATTCTGTGTTGTTTGAATAACAAATTATGGAACTATGTCGAATTCAGAAACTTGTGTTATAGGAACCTCACACACACATGTAATAAATGGGTTCTATCCATCAATTGTCAAATATGAAGCTCATTTCCTCTAGCTTTACCCAACGAGTTTAAATTTTAGCAAGTCTGAGGACAATGTGGTGCCCAACCCCAAGAAAAGGACTTTGCTGCATTGGAGTTTGGCTTTCGCTGTCAGAAAATTTCCCTATAATTCTGGTTAAAAATTAAACCATGATTTTTGGGATTTTCCACATTATATATATCAAGCTCAAGCCCAACTATTAGGCATAAAACACTCAGCTTCTGACGGGAAATTTTAGAACCCTTTGAGACTTCCAAGTTTCCAACTAATTTACAGATTAAACATTAGATTAGTCAACCGATCACTACATCATATAGCTCAATACAGCTGGAGATTTCACAAAAAAATGAATAATTTAAACTAACCCAATTTATAGACTCCAGAGCACCGACCTGGCATGCAACAATGAGCCTGACTTTGCACTCACATTAAATATTTGAACATTGTAAGTGGTAGTACTACTTAATAATAATAATCCAAAATTCATTTAACATCTTCCCATATTCCCATACTTGCACATTGAATCAGGACAGTGATTCGGCCCCTCGGCCCTTACTATTATTAGGAATTTTCACTAGATGGCTTGGGTTAGAAGTAAAATTTTCACTAATACTTGAGAGCTTTGCAGAGTGTTTTTTTTTTTTTTTTTATCGTGATGCGTTTTAGGATGGATTCTTAATATTTAAAAATTACTTATAATTCCCGCAATAAGTATACAACAGTTAAATGATATCATATTAATAAATGTTCAGCCAGAAAGCAACTTTGTTTAATGTTTTAAACAGCAGAAGATCATTACCATTAGGGAAAAAGTACATCAGCTAAAGCCAAAAAAAAATATGTTCATTTTTTTTTCTACTTTCAATCGCCCTGTTGGCTGCATCCACTCGTGCAACTCCTAATTTAAAAAAGAAAAAAAAATTAAATTATTATAGTAGTAATTAAGTATGTATTAATTATTATTATCCGTAATGCAAAGCATGCATGCACGTGAACGTCGGCCTAATCTGGCAGTAGATTAGTTGACTTCATTTAAATCGTAATATAATTTATCTTGTTGTGCATCTGGCAATTCCCAATACCACAAGGGTAACACAAGAACAGCATCTGAATTTCCTGTATTTGTTTAATTAATGCATTACAAATATTACTCAATTTTTTTTTGTCATTCTTTTTCTTCCAATATAGTTAATGTTTCTCATTTCACCAAAAATATTTACTCCATGGGAAGTTTTATTTTTTTTAACATTAAAGATATGTATCTATTAGCAGTTTTTCACATATATAATACTCTAGTTAGCTTTTCGAACTTTTTTTTTTTGGCTAACTTCTAGCTCTAACACCAACCATAGTACGCTGCTTACTTATAACTTTTATTACCACTTTAAGAACTATCTTAATAATTAGAACATGAGATGCTAAATTAAGAGTTTCTAGGAATTTAAAGTTTACATGCTTAATATTTACTTGTGATTTGAAATTGAACTTAACTTAAATAGTTTATTCATTATTTTAAAAGTTAAATTATCGTAAAATTAAAATTCGATTTTCAACACTTATAAAATTTCTCTTTTTATCCTTTTAAATTTTGATTTTTTTTTTTGCATAAAAAAAATTTAGAGGTGAAAAAAATGAGATGGAAGAAGACAAAATTTCATTCTCTAATTAAAAGATTACAAGTATAAATAAATAAATAAATAAATAAATAAAACACTGGGATTTCAAGTATGAATTAATCCTCTTAGCAAAGTTGATCATAGGGTTATTTAGTAGGCAGTCTGTAATTAAACTAGTTAATTTAGCTTTGAATTTAGATATTGCCTTAAAAAAGAAAACATGTGGGGAACCGAATAAGAACAAGCCCACCCAATCGTGCAGGGAATATATATGGGCTTTAAAATGAAGGCCCGGCTATCGTCCAATTGGCCAATCATTTTGACAGCAACCCCAGCCAAAATTCTAAAATATCTCCTTTTATTACCATTTTTTTTATCCTGAAAAATTACTTCGTTTCGCTTTTTCAATCTTCCTTTAAAAAAATCCAAAAACAAAGGAAAAAAAGAGAAAAAAAAGAGAAAAAAAAAAGGCAAAAGAAAGTCCAATATAAAATTCAAGATAAGACGGAAGAAGTAAACTTCGTGGCAAGTTCGGCGGTATTAGCGGCGAAAGACACAATCGGCGGCAGTTTTGAAAAAAATTATCTTAGAGGAGAAAATGATAGTGAAAAAAAAGTCAAAAGTGTCAAAATTAAAAGTGCAACAACAACAATCCTTCAAAAGATTCCACAAAAGACCCACTTCTCTATCTCTCTTAAATTTGACATTCAGACAAAAATCCCATTAGCTGCCTTACTGCATCACCCACTTTCCATTCCATTAGTAACTCTTTCGACCTTTTCCTTTCTATCTCTCAAGAAACGGTTTTTTTTTTTAATCCTCCGCCTCACAGCACCACCACCGCCACCGTTTACGCCATCGTATCACCACCAAAGCCACTGCCTTTTTCCTATATTCTTACAAAAGAAAACAAAAAGTTACAAATTTATTCTTTTACTTTTGCTAAACCTTTTTCCAAGATTCCAAAAGAGGAATTTTTTTTCTTTTTTTGCAAATTTTTCATTTTTTTTTTTTTTATGGAGCCTCCGGAGAATAGTAGTAAGGATAGTAACAGCTACGAATTGGCGGAGAAAATAATCCTACGGTGGGATTCAACGGCATCGGAGGAAGCAAGAGAGAGAATGATTTTCGAAACGGATCGTCAAGAAGCTGATCTTTACCTCCAAGCCGTCGATGAAATCCAACGATCCTTATCCAACGCGTCGATCTCAACTTCTTCCAACAACAACAACGCCGCCGATGACCAGTCAAAAGTCAACACCACAATCCAGATCGCCATGGCTCGTCTAGAAGACGAGTTTCTCAACATCCTCATCACTCACTCCTCTGCTGTGGAAACCGATTCCCTCTTCGATCCGACATCGTCTTCAGTATCAACTCCTTCTTATCACGAACTCGAAGAAGACGATAGCTTAAACAACGACAATAGCAGTCACAGCAATCTGCTTCAGCTTCAGCACTGTGAATCTTCGGATAGTTCGAGTTACCGATCTACAAGCAGTATACGAGAAGTGGATCTGATGCCGGCCGAAGCGATTTGCGATTTACAAGCGATCGCGATGAGGATGATCTCGTCTGGGTACTTACGGGAGTGTATTCAAGTGTACGGTAGCGTAAGGAAATCGGTCGTTGACTCGAGTTGTAGGAAAGTGGGTATTGAGAAGCTCAGCATCGGAGATATCCAAAAGCTTGAATGGGAAGCTTTGGAGAGTAAAATTCGGCGTTGGATTCGAGCCGCGAGAGTTTGTGTGAGGATTTTGTTTGCGAGCGAGAAGAAGCTTTGTGAGCAAATCTTTGAGTGTGTCGGAACGGATATTGATGACGCGTGTTTTATGGAAACGGTTAAAGGCCCGGCAATTCAGTTATTTAACTTCGCGGAAGCCATAAGTATAAGTAGGAGATCTCCTGAAAAGCTTTTTAAGATACTTGATTTACATGATGCTTTGATGGATTTGTTGCCTGATATTGAGGCGGTTTTCGATTCGAAATCATCGGATTCAGTTCGAGTTCAGGCTGCGGAGATTTTGTCCAGGTTAGCTGAGGCCGCTCGGGGGATTTTGTCCGAATTCGAAAACGCAGTTTTAAGAGAGCCTTCTAGGGTCCCTGTCCCTGGTGGAACGATCCATCCTTTGACTAGGTATGTTATGAATTATATCAGTTTGATATCTGATTATAAGCAGACTTTGATTGAGCTTATAATGTCGAAACCATCGGCCGGTCCGAGGTATTCGGGTGATCCATCGACCCCAGATATGGAGTTTGCTGAGTTGGAAGGGAAAACTCCTTTAGTTTTGCATTTGATTTGGATTATTGTGGTTTTGCAATTCAATTTGGATGGGAAGTCTAAGCATTATAAAGATGCATCTTTGGCACATTTGTTTATAATGAATAATGTTCATTATATCGTTCATAAGGTTAAAGGGTCACCCGAGTTGAGGGAAATGATTGGGGATGATTATTTGAGGAAGCTGACAGGGAAGTTTAGGCAGGCGGCAACGAGTTATCAGAGAGCTACCTGGGTGAGTGTTTTGTATTGTTTGAGAGATGAAGGGTTGCACGTGAGTGGGGCCTTTTCTTCTGGGGTGTCCAAGAATGCATTGAGGGAAAGGTTTAAGGCTTTCAATGCTATGTTTGAGGAGGTTCATAGAACTCAAGCAACATGGTTGATACCCGATGCTCAGCTTAGGGAGGAACTAAGGATTTCTATGTCCGAGCGGTTGATCCCAGCTTATAGGTCATTTCTTGGGCGGTTCAGGAGCCATATAGAGAGTGGAAAGCACCCCGAGAATTACATCAAGTATTCAGTTGAAGACTTGGAAACTGCTGTGTTGGATTTCTTTGAGGGATACCCTGTATCCCAGCACTTGAGGAGGAGATGAGATGAGTTTTGTCATGGTAGAAACTAGGAGACATTCTTTCAATTTTTTGTGGGGTGTTTGGGCGATATGGTGCTGGTGAACCTGGGGCTTCCCTGAGCTCTCCAATTTGTTAATGACAGCTGATTGAATTATTTCCACGGGTGACGAACCAACAAGATCAGGTGTTAGCTTTCCAGAATAGCCAGGCCCCTGGAGCCTGAATACTTTCTGCACTGTAAGCATTATGTTGGTTTGTTACCACATTCTAGATTTTGTTCCATTTGTTCATATTGTTATTATTGTATTTGTAATTTTGTGTGTTTGCTTTTACTATTATTAATGATATGAAGAAGCATTTTTTTTTTCCTTATTTCTATTCTCTTAGCTATTGTTGCAGTAACCTTTTTCGGTTTGCATACCACAATTATGCATTCTCAGAAAGGTTAACCCTAGTAGGCGTCGATATTGAAGTTAAGCATTCTTGGTGGTGCCTTAAGTTCAAGTTACCTGTATAGATGGACACAATATACAAGGAGAAATTATATTCTGCTTAAATTGAAATGTGATGCTTTGACAATTATTAATGATGTATTGGATTTATGGCAAAATTTATGACTATGATCCACACGCTCGAACTGCACCAATTAGTTTTCTATTAAGATTTCTTTCAAACTGGTCTATCACAATTTGGCGTATCCACTTACCTAAAGTAATTGGCACGATAATTGAGTTTTGCTTGAAAATTCAAGCAGACGATGGCTCTTAGTCTTGGGTCAAGTCAATGCTTGCCTTGCCAATGCACTACTTTTGCATGACTTTGTTAGCGTATAAATAAAATGCCTCTCATTGATCATCCAAAAGCACACTGCAAAAGGTCCTTTACCTGACACTTTGCTATTTAATTCAGTAAATCTAATTAGATAAATTGGTTGACTCTCAAAAGGTCCATTATTATTAGATAATAGATGGAAATTCATCCAGGAAAGTTGCACAATTTCTCAAAACAGAAAAAAAGGGCATGTTACAATTTAGAAAACAATGGCCATCTCAAGAATGAGGGAAGGATAGTTATACTTACCAATCAAGGACAGTTTAATGCGGACTAACCTGAAGAGCATGCAACATATGACTATGATGTCCATTCTCCTCTCCTTCTCTTTCTAGACAGGATAAAGGAGAACAAAAAAAAGAAAGGCTTCTTCCCATATTTTCCTTCTTTTTGACGCGAGGATTCTGGAGCATAAATCACTTTCAAGAAGAGCTAGGTGGTCTATGCAGTTGACTTCTCATTTAATGGATTTTCTCCAAATATCAGTGGCCAATACCAGTTCGTTAAAAAAAAAAAAAGCGTGTTAAATTACATGTCACAAACTATATTAATATCAGATAGGACATTGCACGGATTGCCTGTTCCCTTTGTAACAACTAACAGGTGAACAATTTATTGACTAATTTAAATGAACAGATACAAAGAAACAATATGAACTTTGAGGTTAGAAAAAAAAAGGAAATAAAAAGTTCAACAGCTGACTTTTGGTTGTAATGATTGGCTTGCCATACCCCGATACTGTTGTAGTTCAAACGAAGGTTGAACCAAGTTCTAAGCATCACAGATTCACAGCTTTTAAATCATTCTGTTTTGTCTTCTTCCAAGTCACCATTATATGCTCCATTACTGCCCTGCACTGGTTTAGCTTCAGTTGCACTTCGAAAATCTTTTGAAAGTGTTGGAGATGGTTTTATGAGTGTCAAAGTAGTATCATCTTTGTCAAAATCTTCATTTGGTTCTCCAGAGTAAGCATACCTATTAAGATCAGAACAGCCAAATAGAAAGTACATAAGATGCTGCAAAGACATTGAAATAAGTTCTCTGAGCTCCAAACCAAAATTAAAAAAATGCTTGAACTTCAATATGAGACACAATGGAACACAACTAAATGGTCTCTAAACTTAGTAACAAAGAGAAACTAGCTTAAAACTGATACAATCCCATACTAATAAAGCCTATATTGGCATCTCAAGTTGCTGGGTGTAACCTTGATTTACAATAAGTAAATCTTTAAAACAATTGAGTGAATGCAATTTTTCTGAATGTCCATAAAACACTTCATAAATGAACTAATATCAGAAAAGGAATGGCAGAAAAAGAAGCTTAGACTCCACAAGCTAGATCTTTACCGCATTGAATTCTGAGAGGGCGCCCAAAGAACACAAATGACACATAGCAGAGAGAAGGATAAGACTTGCCAGAAGGCTGGGATGATCCAGGCATTCTGCCATTGCTCATTGTAAACATCATTTGACTTGAAATAAAGCTGAAAATACGGTTACAAAAAGTTGTTAGATGCAAGAGGTTTGAAAACAACGCCATTTCTAAAATGGTAATTTACATTTTCCTCACTCTATGTTGCAGATTCTGATTATTCTATCTCATCCTTCCTATTTAAAGATGCAAGACTACACAATTAAATTGCAGGCATGCTCTTTACATTCTTCTAAATTATATGCTGAGCTTAAATTTATTGATAAAACAGCCAAAAAAAGCATTAAAGTTAATGGACTTGACTACCTCATAGCATATCCAACCCACAGACACAATAAGAGCTACCGCCAATGCATTTGTGAACTTCCTGTATATATCCAGCTTTACCACCATCCTTCTAGCCTGTTGCACCCATTAGCGAGAAAAAATTGGAAAGCAATTTTCTTTAAAGTTCAAGTGTCATTATTTTTAATAATAAAACAAACAATAAAAGATGGATGATGTACTGTTGTTACACTAGCATTATATAATTTCAAAAGATATAATAGCGAGGCATTAGAAAGAGAAAAATTCAATACAGGATTAAATGCATGCATAAACATGTCTTAGACCACAGATCAAGCAACAAATATTATCTTGGTGTAAGACCACAGATCAAAGTTATTATTACCTTGTTTGCAATGTTACACCTTCAATTATTTCTATGAATAGAAACAAATCTATGCAGCTAGGTTCTACTGCAGTCAAAGACACAATTGGTAAGGGATAACTTTTTTCATTTAAGATTGTATTGGAAAATTTAATGAGTATTTCCATTTAATTATGATTAATATTGTTGCTGCAGGCTGTTAAACTAGATGGTCTTAAAACATGAAGGGACTTATAAGGATCTTCATCTGTCTCCATTTACATGATATCAACTAATCATCAAGGAACTTATAAGGATCTCATTTCCTATTTTTGTGATTTTAAAAATTCATATGTTCATATGCTGTCAGTGTCAGCGATCACTTGTATATATCCACTTGCAAAGAACGAAAGATATGAATCTTTATCATAGAGGATCTCAAGAATTCACTCTTACATATGAATGAGTTGCAAAAGGAAAATATTAATATTGCTATTAACTTGACATCACTGACAAAGTAAAGAGAAAATACCTGAAGTTTATTTAGAGTTGCGGAGAGAGATGTAAATATCCAAAGAATGAAGAAGGTATCTAAGATTGCCACAGGAAGAACCAAAAACAGTCTTGCCTTTCCAGATAGATCACTCACTGCACCAACATTTTCTACCAACTCAAGAACTTCAGATGCCAGGAAGAAGGTTCCACCAAGCATGATTACTTTTGAAGTAAGCCCACCAAGAGTAGGTCTCACAACACCATAACCCATGGCAACCATCAGCATAATAATCTGCGCAATTGTACGCTTGATGGTGCCAAAGGTGACTGCCCACATAGTGATTGCGACGGGCCTGATTCCACTCTCATTGAATTCAGCATAATCAAAATACCAAAGAGCCATCTCAAGCATGCCAAGCGTTATCACTAATGTTATACAGTTTTGTAAAGGAAGAACCTCTCTCCAAAATCTTGCATATTGCGAGAACCAAAAGACTCCGAGGATCACAAAAGCAAGGGACATGAACCCATAGAAATTCATCAGTGGTGCCATTCTACCAGGTAGATAACCAGTAGGATTTTTCCATACAGTTTTCCCCTCTACAGTCAAACCTTTAAGATTTAAATCACAGTGAATGAAGTACAAGTTATACATCCCAGTTTTAGTAATCTGTATAGACTGTGATGGCAATGTTGCAACCACATCATCTCCATTAAATGATATGCGCAACACTTTGGGCCAGCTAGGATTGTGAGTGGAAGGGCGATGAATAACTTCTCCTTCCGAACAAACACCCAGTTTTGCAAGATCTGCTGTGCAACAAACAGCTCTTTGACCCCCATAAGCTGAACCCCCAATTGTCTCTCTATCTTGCACTTCAAAAACAATTGCTTGGATTGACTGTGAGCTAAAGTTAGCAAATTCTTTTGGTCTATGGAATGTGATCTTCTCAAAACTGGTTCAAGGTTACCCACAAGTTCAGTATTCATAAAAAAAAAAAAGAGAAACATCTTCAATACCAACTGCTCTTCAAACATCTAAAAATATAAGTCAATAACACATTCAAAATCATATTCGTTAAACATGTTCTGCTTCCTGGTTTTCCTAATAAGTTAGTACCATGTTCAAATGACTTGACCCGACCACTGACTTAATTAAATAAAAATCTGCAAGAATCTTAAAATTTTGAGTAAATTTTCATCTTTTGCTCTTTCGGGTGCAAAAGGTTTAATCTTTTAGTTTCGTTTCGCTTAAAATACATAAGCTTAAATTTCCTTAGTTCTGTGTCAAATTCAGCATCAGATCCTAACAACTCTCAAATCCCATACAATTCAAACAAACCCCCACTAAAACCACCATCAAAATAAAGAGATCTAAATGGTAAAATTAGCAGATACTTGCATGCAAAAAGGGAAATATAAAGAAAAAAGAAATGGGAAAGTGAAAACTAACCGGATGTAAGAGTCGCCACCAATGGAAGTTACATTCTGGGGATCAGCAAAAGAAGAATAAATGCCTTCGCTGCCGCCATGGACGATGAACGCATTGCCTTTACTGACGAATTTCTCTCCATTGTAGTCATGAACTGAAGCATCACTGAGGTAAACAAAGCAGAAACACAAAAGGGGTAGGAGGAAAAGAGGATTTTGAAGCTTCAGCATTGCCAACCAAAGTTCTATTAGAAAAGAAAAAGATGGAGATTTTGGTTGGATCTGCTGATTTGCAGAGTGAAAGGAAAATCTTCTTTCTCTGAGAAAGCCCAAGGCCGAAGTAACAGGTGAAAAGCAAACGGGGAAAGATCAACTTTAAAAAATAGTTTTACATTTTTTAACCATTAATTAATTTTAATCAATTCATAAAATTAGATTAAATATTTTTTTTTTTACTTATTCTCTTGTCTTTTAAATCTTTAAATTTATTAAAATTAATAATTAAAAAATATAAAATTTTTTAATTCCTCCCGCAAACAAACTATGTATGATAGAATTTTATATTAATAAATTAATAAAGGGTTAACTCATAAGTTTTTTTGTTTATTATATGAATTTGAATTTGTTAAGAGATTATAAAAATAATATTTTTTTATAATTTATTACGTTTCTTTAAATAATTTATTTAAATTGATTGAAAAAAATATTGTACCGGGCAATTCGGGAACCTCTCCCTCGCTTAAAAAAAAAAAAATTTGTTACATTAGTGAGAAAATGAGAAAATGATAAGGTAAGGTACTGGCAAAGCTGAAGACAAATAAATCCTGACCGTTAGATATTTGATTTCTGGGTTTAATGTTTGATTAGACTATGATAAGTTCTTACATCAATGCTTAATGATTTTTTTAATCTATCTTTGAATTCTCTATTTTAATATTTATTTGAATAAAAATACTATTACATGCATAAAATTTTTTAAAATCCTAATGCCAACTCTAATAATATGTTAATTTATTCAAATTTCAACATATCAATGCTTAATGATAATTAAAGTGGGATTCGGAGTTAGAGCAAGTAAGAACAATGTGATGTGAACGCTATCGGTTTGTTTATTCCCATTCCCCTGTTTTGTCATAAACTAATAGCAATCGATAAACAAAAGCAAAGGAGCCAAACCCAGTTTTTCGCAATTCGACTATGGCCCATGGGTCATGCCAATCCTGTCTGCTTCTGCCCTGCTCCCGCCCTGCTTCCGCATGCGACTATGTCAGTATGCTAAGTTTTGATTGCCCACAAAATTATTCACATGAACCTTGTCTTCCATAAATACAGAGTTTATATCTCTCTTTGTTCTTCGGGGGCCAGAAAATACAGAATTCATCAGTGGCCTCTAGTATTTTCCCTTGTTTAATGGTCCACCAATACGTTTTAAATGTTTGTTGCTTTCAGACAACTATATGATTCCTATTTAAGCCTCGACGTTTCTTCTCTTTGAATTCCATTTGGTGAATTTCTTTTACTTATCTGTTTTTATTTTATGCACACTCTCCTGTTTAGCATCAATATCAAGAGATCAATGTTCATTGCTGTTTGAAGCAATTATATCTGAGAATTCAAGATAACTTGGAGACTTCCATGAAGTGAAATCTCTTACTAATATTTACTAAAAGCCAAAACTAAATTAGAGCACCGGCAAATCGCGGCTAAGCTTTGTCAGATATATTGTTTGCAAATGTTACAAGAATTTAATGTTGAGATGGAAAGAGAGAAACAAAGAGATATGGAGCATCTTCTAGCGGCCTCCACATCTCCTACACCACCAACCGCCATAAAATTTGCGGATAGTTAAAACAGGATGCAGGAAACATGAGTTAGTCCAAATCAAGGAACTCCATTCTTTTCCTCATTGTACCTTTAAGATCTGTTGCCTCCCTTTCCGCTTTCTGTGCCTGCATAAGTTACAATGCTACTTATTAAGGAAACTCAAAATCCAATAACAGAAGGGTCATCTTTAACAACGATATTATAGACTACCAATCATTCCACAACATAAAATACCTCACATTTCACAAACATATACAAATGTAATGAAGTAGTTTTTTGAAAAAAAAAAAAAAAAAAATAAAGAACGTTTCTATCTACAAACATAGTGTAAACTACTTTCAGGACAAAGTATAGACCAATAGCATATTTTAGTTAATTGTATTCAAAAATTTAACTGATACATAATCATTCTGTGCAAATTAGCCTCTATAAGAGGAGAGGCAGTTGGTTTTCAGAGTATCAAGAGAAATGCACTGAAAAACAATCATTATGTGTATATAGTTGCATCTTAAGCATTATGAAATCATGCAGCTATATAATTAGCGATTCACTCCCATCATTAGGAACCATGCCAATCTTACCCAAGAAAACAGGTTGAGGGAAGAGGTCTGGTGTAATTGTTTTCTTTTAAACTTCAAATTTTCTTATGATTTAATTAGTTAACAAGTACTGATACACATGCCATTCAAAGAATTGACATAGACTACAAGTACAAAAATCTTTCATTATCTGAGAAGTGAAGATGATAATTTCTTTCACATAAGTATTTCTATGTTTTACTATTATAATTCATAAATAGTTAGAATTTCCTTAATTTATTCTTCCTCGTTACAAACATCAGAAAATATGGACAGAATCACACGAAACACCTGGTTAAGCTCTCCGTTTGACCCATATTAACAAACACCAAAATCATTCGTCACATCATCATTATATCCACCATCCTCATTTTCAAGATCCATGTGAACACTTAAATGTTAGATGTATCTAAGAATCAGGACCTCTTGCCGTCAACAATTATCAATGTTTTACTCTCTAGTTTTGTCTACATGGCAACACTTAAAAATGTGAAGATGCCCACATAGGGATTGCAGACACTCAAAAAAGAAGAGGAGCTTAAGGACATTCAGTATGCCAAATGTGTCTCAGAGAAATTGTTTTACAATTGCTAATGGAAACACATAATTCATACAAAATATGACTTACTTACCCTTTTAATTTCTGCTGCAGAAACACGGGTCATATGTGGAGGAAGTTCCTCTCTTTCCAAGTCCTAACACATCAAATGTAATTTATAGGACAAGTGAAAGGCATTACAAACTAAAGCAAAGGCTCATGGAAGTCAATGAAACAAGATAACTTAGCCAAGTCATACCAGCTCACCAATCAAGACAACATTCTCCCCACGGATTACATATAGACCTAAAGGGATGTCGCAATAAAGATCACCAACAATAACTCTTTCACAAGCACCCTCAATAACAGCATTAGCTGAGACAAATGTAAGTCAGGAACCAGAATAAAATGGTAACATGTGAAGCCAAGAAGAGTTAGATGAGACAAAGAAATCGGTACCAAATTGGTCAAAAGAACGTAATGTTCCCATGAGCTTTCGACCATCTCGCAGAAGCACTAAAAGTTTTTCTGCATCATACATAGAAGAGTGAGATGTCAGCAATTGAAAACACAAAAGAGTGCTCCAAATATATATTCGAATCTAATATTACATCTAAATGCTGTGCAAAAAATCTATGCTTTGCAGAAAGTGACAATTAAAATAAAGAGATGTCACATAACATTCGAAAACCTCATGGCAATATCCGAAAGCTCCAGAAAAAAGAACAATTAAGTACGAGTTTGACCACAATTCATCACAGTTCATTAGCATATCATAATTTAGACATTGTTGACTAAAAAGACTATCAATAATCATGCAACTGAGCAATCTCTTGAAAATTAAAAAATTTTCAATTTTCATCGACATGAAATCCTGAACATTTGTCCATCTTCCAATCCTCCTTATCGCTTTATAGAATCAAATCAAACTTCTAACTGATAACTTCCCCTAACTATTTGCTAATTATTAACTAAAAGATGATTGCAGAATCGTCAACCATAAGCAATTAAATTAAGAATAATCCTACATGAGCTTAAGCATACAACAAAAAATTCAACAACCAACCAGCATATAAACATATGAAAGCCACAATCACTCGTACTATAGGGAAAAAAAAAGTTCAACAGCAATGCCAAAAGACTAGACTTTTAAATGAAAATATTAATCGCAAAACACCATAAATTTAACAGCAATAACAACAGAGAGAAAGAGCATACTGTCAAGATAACTGGCAAGAGAAGTAGAAAGGTAAACATCTTCAGGGCCTGCCCAAGACATTGATCAATTTTTTTTTCGGTCTCTCCAAAAAATTTACCGAAAAAATACACCTTTCAAATACCAATTACCCAAATATGACATTTGCTATTCAAATTTCTCTTTCTTTATCTAACTCTGAACCTCCAAAAACATAAATAAAATTAACCTTCCAAGAAAAACAAAGGCAACCCAGATAAGTAAATATCACGAATTACACAAAAACCCAAAGAAATTCCCTAAATTCCAATACTGCTAGATCCAACAAAACCCTAACTTGAAAACCCTGGGAAGCTAATAGATTGGGGTTTTTTTTTTCTCTTCCGGTTTGAAGGGACTAAGTGGGGTTGGAGAAAAAAAAAATTCAAGAGCACTCAGATCCAATCGTGCCGGAAGAGAGAGAGAATAGAGATGAAGCCTGAGAAAATGCGGGAAAATTAGAGAAAGATAGGAAAATGGATTGGCAACTTGGGAATTAGGGTGTGGCGTTTAACATGGTGGAAATTGGATTTATTTGAGTAGATTTCGCTGTTCGTTTTTTCATTTCTGTTTCTATATTTCTGATTTTAGGTTTTTGATTAAAGATTAGGGAGTAGCTTGGTTAAAAGTAAAAAATTAAAACAAAATATAAAAGAAAAGAAAAAGAAGCGGATTTTTTCTTTATTTTTTATTAATAACATCGGAGCGGAACTGCGGACGTGATTAGATGAAGCCATGAGGGGAACTAAGCATTGATCTCATTACGTGGGAGAAGCTCATTGGTAAGGAAATCAAACCAAATGGAGGGCATTTCTGGCATCGCGTGATATCTTGTCATCCTTTTAACAGATTTACTAACGGCACACTAACGGTTGGATTTTTTAAAATGCAAGAGGCATTATTTTGGGTGGAGCGTAGGATTCTGAAACTTTGTATTTGAGTGTAATTATGGACAAAATTGAATAACTTTTATTGTATTTTTTCCCTTTTATTTTAATTTTTTTAATTTATAAGATGATTAGTGACAGAAATTGATAACGAATGAAGCCGTATAGTTTAAATTGGTTTTTGTAAGGGATGAAATTTTTATACAGTTTAAAATTCAATTTCCCTCATTTATAATTTTCTCTAATTCTTATATGTTTTGATTTTGTATAAAAAATAATAAAAAATTTTTAATCACACCAAAAAAAATAGAAATAATGAAAGTAAGATGTTTTATTTTTTTAAGACATAGTTAGTTAGGAAACTAATTGAAGGTCTTGAATGATTGAAAAATATTTTGGTACTTTGATAAGTAATCCATGGCTCTAATCAAGAAAAGGGTCCAAACTTTGTGACATAAACTTTAGAAAAAAACAGAAAAAAGAGAGCAAAGTATCAATAATTATGATCAAATCAATGCTTTGATGATCCAATCCACTTTTTCTTATACTCCCAAAGCAAATTTAATTTCATGTACTAAGAATATTAAAGTTAGGGAATATTCATGGGGTAATTTTTTTTTTTTTAAATTCCATCCCTGTTTGGTGTTTTACAAAAGAACAGCTTGTATATTTGTAATGCCAAGTTGCCAATTTGCTTGAAGAATTCAAAGCCAAGTTTAAAAACTAGTTTTATTCAAGTGGTACTAATATATGATATGGTCAAGTTCTTAATCAATGAAACAATGAGAGATGAACTTTTTGTTTTGTTCATTGAATTACACAATAAAAGATAACTTTGTCTCCTTATAATTCTTTCATATGCTCAAAAAATTAACCCTTAGAATAAAAGGCAAAGTTGGGATTTCTTGAATGAGGAAGTACTCTAGAAATTCATAGCTGTGAAGAGTATCTAACCATGAAAATAATTTAAGTTTTGTTTTATTTTGATGTTATTTCCCATTATAGTTATCATTTTCTTGAGATTAACATTTAATTAAATGATGATCAAATTAATCAAAAGCGAAATCATATAAATAAAAAAAATCAAATAATAAATTAAATTGAGAAAAATGGCTAAGTATTATTTTGGGTAAGATTGGATACTGTTTTATAAAGATACTTAAAATTTTTTGGGAGCCATAACTTGTAGGCCTTGCCTGCCTCTAGCTTCGCCTCTAAATTAATGTACACTTGATAAAGGTTATAAAATTTTTACCAACAAATGGGGTTTATTTAAACTTGATTTCTAGAAGACTAATTGATTGGAGCTCAAGAAACATGATTTGTACAATGAAGTGTCCCACATCTCAATAATTTCTTGTCAATCAAAATATTATTCACCTAAAATTCATCTTACAAAAGGCGAAGCTTTAGAAAAAAGGGGCTGGTGCAGAATAATTGGATAAAAATTAAATAATGTCTAGCTGTGCCAGTGCTAATACAGATATCCATTGGAGATATCTAATAAACATGGGTTGCATTGCATCCACAGGTACAACCATGAAAAAAGGGGGGGAACACAGCTAGCACAAAACAGAGATTGCTGTCTGAATCAGACAATTGTTTTTTTGCCCTGTAATTTTGAGCCTCCAGATATCGGATTTATTCATAGAGTTACTTCTTCCAAATTTTTGTCCTGAATCAATAAAGGCAGCTATTCAAGTTCTTGAATCCTAGATTTGAACATTGGAACCTGCAAAGTTAGAAACCATATAGTTAGAAATTAATGGACACTTTAGAACATTAATTTTGGAAGCATTTATAGGAAAATTGTTCCTCTTACCTTGTAATCTTGGTGCTTTCAATCATAGATGTAGATTTTAGATCTCTAGAACAATATCTGCAATAAGAAAAAAAAAGGTCAAGAACAAGTAATTATAAAATAATTCTGGAGGGGAGTTTGAAGATTGCGAGTTCGAAAATTAAAGATACATGATATTTTTTTAACTAGATATACTATATAGGGGTTAATAGGGTAAAAAGTAGATTAGGAATTTTAAAAAATAACATCCATTTGTTGTTGTTTTTTTTATTTAAAGTTTTAATTACTTTGTGCTTGTTTTGGTTAATAATTAAATGTCATGAAAATCCAAGATGAACTTACATTCAGAATCTGTTTTGACCCATTTATATCCATCTTCACTCTTTCTCTCCTGCGTTTCATCTTGATTATTTTGCCTTTTTGGTGTATGTTTGTCCTCTAAGTATTTCTTCATGGATGATGCTCGAGATGGATTCTGACTGTAAATCTTCTTGTGAAGCATTACCTTCAAAAGCTGTTGATGACAAATATTTGATTGACAAAAGAAAAAATCAATCAAAGATCAGAAGAAAAGAGACTATTTGCACTTAATAAAGACATTAATATAAATCATTACCTTCTCCATTCTTGATTCTTGTAGTGTATCTCTCAAACTTGGTGCAGGTGAAAATCCACTGCTACAAACAAACATCTTCTTCAGAAGGAAAGAAATTGATTTTTTCCCAATGGCTTTCTTCTTATTTTCAGCACAAATGTCTTTGCATCTGCCGAGAATAACACTTATGGTCCGATCAATATCTTCCTCTGATCTATCCCCTGAATCACTGCAGAGTGCATTACTGATCCTCCTGTCCACTTCCAAGCTCGATGGACAATTAAGAAATCTATCCAATGGTAAATTTGCTAGTTCTTTTTCCACATCGGAAGCAGGCTTTCGGGACAAGAGTTTTGTTAACTCCTTTTGTAGCTTCCCAACTTCTTCAGGTGTAAATTCTTGTAATTCCTCAGATGAAGATGACTCCTCTTGAATATCGGATGTATCTTGTTGAATGATATCTTGGGATTGAGGGTTTTCTTTAAGGTCATTGTTACCAAAAGTTCCTATTGCCAACAACCCATGAGGCCAATCACTGAACTCTTCTCGAGGCTCTTTTTCCATATGACCTACAAGAAAAAAGAACAGGAAACGAGATATTAAAGAGTAGAACAATTTTCTTTTTATTATTTTAACTTTGTTAAGGTGTTCTAGATTGAAGATCACATGTTCTACTTGTCCTGGACCATCGTCAGGTTCTTCTAACCTGCTTGGTGCAGTTTTTAACGACAAAGAAAATGAATTTATCAAAGACTTAGATCCCGTCTCTTGTTTTGGTTTTTTGAAAAAAAAAACAAAGTCGAAGAACTTACTCGGGATCCGTGGAAGTGCATGAGAAGGGAGCACTGGTAAACAAGAATAATGTAGGACAACTTGCAATATATATATATATATATATATATACTCAAAAACATTCTTGCTTATCAATTTCAATTGAAACTTACATCCATTACCCTATTGACTAAACCATTTGTGGAAATTACTTCTTTCTGACACCCTGCTGCAGACCCTGATATTGTCATTTAAGATCTTGATTCAGCCCAATTTGAAGCTAGGGTTCTATATCTTGAAATATTGTCTTGGATGTGAATTTTTCTTCATCTTATCAAAAAAAGGATTGATATATATTGTATAAACATGAAAATATGCGTGCATGCAAGCATGTAATATAACTCTCAAAACTAAATAAAAGAAAACAAAAATAATAATGCTTACGAGTAGCAGAAACTGCATTTGGTTTACTGCTTCCTTGTTTATTCCCCTTAAGCTTGTTTTGCATCCAACCAAAGAACTGCAATCAAACATGTCGAAAAACTTGAGCTTTCTTTGTTAACAGCTCAGGCGTAGAGAAACATATAGCAAAACAAACTTACCTTCATTTTCAGAAGTAGAACAGGATGAAGCTAACTGCCTTTTAGGAGTTTTTTGCAATGAATATATGGATAGAGGTGGAAGTGCTGGAGGAAATGTATTTGGAAAACTCGGGTGTGAGGAAGCAGATCTTAAAAGCCAATGAGAATTGAGCTTTGGAAGAATAAAAAAATGGTTTGGATTTTGATGAATTTCATGACCATTCCTTTATTGGTTCAAGTTCCTAAACGGCGGCCTTCTGCAATTTCATCCCTTCCTTCCCACCTTTTGTTTCTTAGTGTTCAACCTTTTATTCTCTGAGTTCCTAACCTCTTTCCCTCTCTTACCACCTTATACAACTAACATACCCATTCCCCACTATAGCTTAAAGACATTCTCTTCTATATATATATATATATATATATATATATAATCTATGCATGTATGTCCATATCTATGCAATAACACGTGAATTGGGGATTCCATGGTCATGGTTCAGGAACATCCGGCTGCAGACGCCCTCGTGGCTTCGGTTTAGTCCATTAGATCTCGAAAAATGCTGATTTCAAGACAAAATTTCTAGTGAAACTGCTAGAATCAATCTCTATAAATTATCCAACGGTTGTTGGAGTGACACAAGATACTGTTGCGAAAAAGGTTTAAACGACAACTTGTAATATGAAATATATAAAAAAGTATTGTGTTATACAGTGTTTCTCTTTTCATGTTAAACATAACTTTCATATGACCCATCTACCTTGAATGAGCGGCTCTATTTATTGATCATATACCAGGATATTTTGCGCTTGCACATGTTATATACACTAGAAGCTATCAAAATTATGTTAAAGATTACTTAAAATAATGCCTTGCTTAAAATTATTGTCGATTTCAGTTCTGCTCAGTCTATTATAAAACGAAAAGGAAAATGTTTCTTTATTCATAGAGAGTTAGGTAGCTTGTCAAAATGGTGGATTTGTCACAGGGAGCTTGAGTGTGATGCAAATGATCTTTTCTATTGCATAATTTGTTTGCTATGCCATGAGTTTTCAAATCAAAACCATATAAGTTTTCTCTTCTGTTCTTAGTAAAAGACAATCTATTTATCATCACATTGTATTTGGAATCATTCTCTATTACTAGTAGCTTAATTTCAGTGTTTTACCTTTTTTATCAGCTAAATTCAGCAACGAAGAAGACAGATTTTCTGACTAATGACCTAAAAACTGATTGGCCAAACATTGAAGCATGGAGCAACAGGGGAGAGGTAACACTTTGAGAGAAGAAACCCCACTCCCTCGTGGGAATGCCCCCTTCACCGACCAAATCAGCCACTCAATCTCACCTGCTACAGAATGTAGGGCACCCGAAACCTACCAAGACCTTAGACCTGTACGCCTTTGATTCCATGAACAATACGGCAACGACCAAGATCAATTTTAGTACATTCAAGCTTAATGCTTTACCATGTTTATTAAAGCTACGCGATACTTCAACTACTCAGAAAAGAAAAAAGGTTCATTGGAAGACAAACCTTTTCCCTTTCATGTAACAGATTACAGATGTATGGTTTTGATTGCTATAAAGTTTTTCATTTGTAACATCAATTGTGTGTCTTACTTTCGCTTTTACCCGAAAAGAGCCTCAATTTGTCGTCAAATTATTCAATATGGAATTTGGCAGAAAGGGTCAGAAAGCAAGGGTAACATCCTAAAATGAATGTTGCTGATTTCGCTAGCCACTAGGAATTTTCCAAGTAGGAAGAAACTTGGGGCCCATCAGGCACGAGCCATTGACGTGATGGATCGCTGCCACGTCAGATATTCTGTCACCAAAGCATAATGGGGTTGGGTTCGGTGAGAGCAGCACGCTACGTGTCAAACAGTCAAAGACAAGTGAAATCCCATCATCTGCTGTCGGTCCAACACGTGTACCAAAGGGGTCGGGTTGACTTTCCACAACATTATAGCCATTCAAAATTCATTGACCCCGATTAAAAAAGAAACCCCGTTTCATGATCTGATCAATAGATTCAAACAGTATCCAAGGCAAATTAAACTAGATATAAACAGGATTAATTATTAACGATTGAAGGGTTTTGAATTAATCCAAGCCATTTTGATTGGCTGACACGAATTCAGTTTTTGACCACAAAATAAACAACCTGCATGCATGAGGGCTCGTGCCAGCTTCCAAGCGAGGAGGATTATTGGTTAATTGTGTGGTTTATGTGGGTTAACGTGGCTAATTGCTTCGATTAAGAGTAATTAGAAACACAACGAGCTATGTGTAGGATGTTCTTTGGTTAGATTCCTAAACCAATGCAAAGAATACGTTCCCTCGAAAGCAAATAATAACAAAATAAAATATCATGCACAAAAGTTAGTTTTAGATTTCTTTTTTATTGGTAATTAAAATTCTATCATTTTACAAAGACTTTTCAAACTAAAATTCTTAACGTAAATTCAAATAAAATTTAAAAATATCTCTAATTTATTATAAAATGTAAAACAAATTTATCAACAATTACATGATTTATTTATAAATTATTATACTTTTAATTTTAATAAGTAAAGTTTAAATTCTAAAAACCTCGTGTATAAAAAATAAAACAATTTTTTTAGTCTAAATAAAATCTTATACCGTCATCTAACTCGTAACATCGTAATATTGATTAATTAATAAATTAAGGTATTTTGTGAAGAAAAATGAATTCCTCGAGATGCATGTAAATATTTTAAGGAAGGATCACTCCCACCAAGATACTACTAAAATCAAAGAAAAAGGTTGCAAAGCAAAGCCATGTGAGTTAGTGTATCTACTAGATGTCTAGGGTTTAGGAACCAAACTAAAATCTGCAAAACCTTACTAATTCTGGAATGTTTAGGAACATTGGCTAACATAAACTAAGGCCTGTGGTGATGTGGACCTCATTCCTCCAGGAGGTGGAAGCAATCATGCATTTGACTAGCTCGCCTTTCATTGGATCTTCACTACATTTTTTAATCAAATCAAATCAAATCACATCAATATTTAAACCAAAAAAGGTTGATTTGCATTAAGATTAAGCAAATGTTTGATTGCTGCGAGAAGGGGCATGATGAAGCTGCCAGAATGTACAAGATATTTATTTAGTATATCTTGCTAGCTAACAGGATGGTAAGAAAGCACGGCCCTTTGTTCTCAATTATGAAGGGAAAATTCCTCCTTTCTTGGCCGCTAACTAGGACTTTGTTTGTCTATTTAGCAAGACAGCCATATCCAGCATGTAGTCTATGTGTATTTATGAGTGTTTGAGTCTGAGGGAGTTGCTTAGTTGTAGTTACTGAACCTGATATCGATAGACGAATGTACAATTTGTTAAGTTAGCTGCTCACGTATCCACGTGTTTTGAACACGCGGATAATGCAATGGGTCTCATTTTATTTTGTCATGCATGCAGTTTTCTTTAATTATAACTTGTTTCATAGTTATTATTCATTTTCTTTTATCGAAAGAAATAGTCAAATGAAAGCTAAATACATTGATTCACATTACAGATAGAAATTTTACATAATAAAAATTGTACAACCGATTGAGTACAAATTCTATTAATTTCAAACTTGAATTTAAAGTAGAGTGTGGAAACTCATTATTTAAGTTAATAAAAATCAATTAGATTTAAGTCAAACTTGAGTAACTTAAGCTAGTGATTATTTTCAATTGTGAAAAACAAAGATCAATGGAAATCAAGCTAATTAAGCTTCAAATTTTGAGTTTTGCAATTGAGACAATCAACTCAAACTTTTCACTAAATCAATTAATTTATATTTGACTCAATTCAATTCGGGAGATACTTTGCTTGTCTGCTTGTTTCATGTGCTTCCATGAATCTCTTTGCTTAAATCCATGTTTTCAGCACTTTGCATAAATTCCTAGCTTATTGCTTTTGCTGCTAATTGTTCTTATGATAATTATGCCAAGTACAATAGCTTTTAAAGGTAACAAGTTATCCATGCTGTATCATATGCTACTGCAATATTACTAAAAGTGGAAGGCAAACCTTTATATGCAAATGGCACTTAATTGCATGAAAACTAACCAATCCCATCAGAATAATTTGGCATTTATATTCTTTCGTGTTTTGCGTGTGCTTTATTAGTAGACAAGTGTAATTTATACTGAGAGGCAGAAGAATTCATGGAAAAGAATCCATTTTGTTTTCCTATAAAAATCATTTCCCACCTTTGTTTTGCCTTCACCACCATTAGAAACTAAATAGAATTCACAATTGGTTTTGGGTGAAGGTTTGTGGCAACAACATCTGAGATCATTGGCTGAATTTTGTTCATACCAACAATAGCTAGTGATGCTAACCAAAAGTAAGTTCTTTTCTCTTTTTTTTTTTTTAATAATAAGTTGTAGGATAAATTCGATTTAATATTATTAACAGAAATCTCAAACTTTTAAATATGCAATCGATCAATTCTTACTTATTAATTCAAGATTTCCGTGCTGAAATTGATCAATTCTTACTTATATATACATTATAAGTAAAGTCATAATGACATTTCCTAAAAATATAATTTTAATATAAATCCTTAAATTAAACATCAGATAAATGAAAGCTTACATGAAAGAAATTAGTTAAGGTTATAATTTAAATATTGTACTACTTTTCTATTTTTTTTTTTTTAATTTTCAAATCCGGTACTCATCCCTCTCCCCCTAAGGCCCTTTTTGCCACATAGTGGGCCACAACTTTTCCTTTCCTATTGACGTGCATGCTTTCGCATGACGTAAAGTTTTGCAGTCTACTTTTAATCTCCTCCATGAGATTGCCAGCCAATATGGGATTGGTTCCCGTCCATCTGCTTTAATTGATGTACTATCTCCCTTACGTCACCCGCTAGCTCAATTTGGAGAAGGCCCATCTCTGATGCCATCTTAACTACTTCCACCATTGTCAGTGCTTCAATTACCACGCAGTCTCTTATACCTGGGATCTGTTTGCACCTTGCTCCTCGGACCCCACTTGCTGAGTCACGAACTACAATGCCTATGCCCCACAGGCCCTTGTCTACGTCCAAAGTCCCATCAAAATTTATCTTAACCTTGTCATCATGTGCCGGCCACTGTCCTGTGGTGTTTGCTGTTGAATTCTTGGTATGCTTCTGTGCTCTCTTGTACTCTTTCTAGTACTGTATGGCGAAATGAGTTGTAGGCTTCTTCGGTCTACTTGGTTCTTGACATGATTATTCCTACTTGC